GGCCCTCAGACTTCCTGCCCACATTCTCACCCCACTGGTCGTCACCCGGCTCAGCAGCAGCAGACCGATGTTCATGGAGGGGGAATTCCTGAAGATTGTCTACACCGATTTCACTTTACACAAGGCAGTAAAAACAGCAGCTTGCTAGGAAAGGCCCACGCTGTTTCAAAAACCAGCAAGGATAAAATATAACCTGTAGCATTAGCAGCAGCCAGAGTGTCTGCAGGCAGCACAACTGGGCATGTGCATGCACAGAAAATGTCTTAAAGAACACAAGGCACTGGTGACAGAGGCTCTCTGCAGGAATTGGGAGAGACAGACTTCAGGATGGGACAGTTTTGCACTGTGCACCTTTGGGTTCATGAGCCATTATCAGGTACATATGTGGCTTTTTTCAATAATATAAATATGAGACCAGAAAACTATACAAACTATACAGGCAGGATGTAAGCTGCATGTTTATGTCTCTGTTTCACAGAAGCACTTCAGAGGTAGAGGCCTTGGGGACACTGGCCAAGAGATCAGGCTTTCCCCAGCATCCTCAGCTTATGGAGCAGGGACACACAAGCAAGAACTGTGTTGGAAAAACAGGTAGTACAGTGGTGATTCTGCACTGGGAGCAGTCCATGCCTAGGGAGGCCTCTTCAGAAGGGGCACTGCCAACAAGGAACCTGTCACCCACCACAGGAGATCCCTGAGAAGATAAGTTGACTGAAGGACTAAGGAGAAGTTCAGGGGACAAAGGCCAGGCCAGCCCAGACTTTTATAGCCACTGTAACTATTTGGATGTTATTCTCAGGACACCAGAAAATGCCCGAAGGGTCTTATCTCCTCATGTGTCTCTCAGGGGGGAAACCCAAGAAAGTTTCCAGACATTTTTTGCAGAGTTTACAGAAGAACCAAGTAATTTCATTTTATCCATCTCTCTGCTCTTGGTCTCAAATTTCAGAAATAAAAGAATTAAGGCACATGTCCTGCCATTTTTAAGAGTCAAGAGTTTACACTAAAATCAAATAAATTACTTTAAAGTCCCCACATATAAAGAGAAAATCATTCTTCAGAGTTTTTTTCTAATTCTTAAATCTTTGAATAAGCTTCTTCTGAGAAGATCTGAGTTTGGAATGCTTTTTTGCTGTTGTTGTTTTTAATGGACCTGGGTACCTTAGAAATATTTCCTCCTAAAAATGTTTCAAATACATCTTTATTTCCCATGGACCATGTATTGACTACCTAAAAATTAACTTATATTCAGACCTCAAAAACACAGCAAGAATGCATTTTCCTAAATCATTCTAACAAAGACATCAATGACGTCAAAACCCTGAGTTTTGAAACAGAACTTCTATTCTCCTTCAAGCATCATTATTAAAATAGACATTTTTTTTTCACATTTGTTCGTAACAGGATTGCCATTTTCCATGCTGGCTACTGATTATAAACGGAATCAATTTTAAAACCAAACTAGGGCTCTCTCTGAAATATTCAAGATGCATTACCATCTGGTTTTATATCAGCATTTGAACAGATCCAAAATTACCATATTACCAAGTATTATCAAAAATAATTCATACCCCTTTCAAAACACGTTCAAGGCACAAATTTAGAAGATCCAACTTAATTTTCAAATTATACCAGACATGTGAATATCGATCACACATTATTTGTCACAAATAATTCGGTAATACTGACCTAAGCTACTTTTATCATTAGGTCTTTTAGAGACTGCTAACTTGGAAAACACAGCATACCAATTCCCTGTGTGAAGAAGGGTAACAGTCTTTACCTACAATGTGCCTGTTATGTAAAAATATGTCTTTTTCTTGACTGAGAAAAAAATGTGTCAAACCTATATATCCATGCCCCTCATTTCCAAACATGAAAGATCCAACAGCATTTCTTCAGAAGTCTACAATTAAATAGACAACGGTAGTTGAGTAAGTGAAATCCAATGGACCCTAGCAGATACAGCTCAGGACACTGCACTAGCAAGAGAATGGCCACAAGGATGACCCAATTGTCTCCAAAAAATCATAACTCTTTATAAAATAAGTAAGAACTAAGCCTGATATCTAAACCTTTCAGTGAAATTTATCATTTTCCAAGAAATATTTTTTTCTACCTAACTACAAATAACAAAATGGGGAAGAGGGGTTGAGGGGGAAGGGTTGGTTTTTGTTTTTTGGTTTTTTTTGAGACAGAGTCTCAAGCTGTCTCCCTGGGTAAAGTGTCGTGGCACCACAGCTCACAGCAAACTCAAACTCTTTGGCTTAAGCGATTCTCTTGCCTCAGCCTCACAATTAACTGGGACTACAGGCACCCGCCACAAAACCTGGCTATTTTTTTGCTGCAGTTGTCATTGTTGTGTTAGCTGGCCCAGCTCAGGTTTGAATCAACCACCAACCTCGGGGTATGTGGCTGACGCCCTACCCACTGAGCTACAGACACCCTGGTTTGGTTTCCTTTTTTTTTTTAAATTTCTCTTAGTTCATTCATTGAAAAGTCTATGCAAAGATGGATACCCTTCCTGCCCCCATTTTTTTTTTTTTTGTCATTCCTCAATGGCAAGAAATCATGGCCATAAATACAGTTAATTTCTCTTCACCATGATTAACACCCTGAGTAGCACACACACGCATCACACAGGCACATGCTCCAAGACTTCTCTGCTACTCCCAAGCATTACCTATAGTGATTTTTATAGCAATCCTCTTAAAAATACAAATAGTTTCAACCTGCCCATCTCAATGGACAGAACAGAAGCTTACCAAGGCAGAGTATTCCATTTCATACAACTCTGTCAATCACCTCCTTGGAGAATAAGACAAGAGTTCCTTGTGGCACTTTTTGAAATAATATATGTTTATTGCCATTTCTGGAATGTTCCATTTTTTTCTTTAGACACTGACTTAAATACAACTTCAAAAATAAGTTTACATTGTTTAATCTCTCTTTTCCTCATTCAAAACTAGGAAAAGAACTGCCCTGAAGTCTGTCGACCTGTAAATGATGTTTTGCAAAGGATTTTAAATATTTCATACTATAAATACATTTATAAAACTAAAAAGTGAAGCCAACATCTCTCACACAATAAGAGCTGACCCCAGGGGTTTAAAATACAAAACACACACACCCAGTAAAGCTACTCTATAGTTAAAATGGGGGAAAATATAATTCATCTTCTAAATTCTTTACTTTGATTGAACTAGAAGAGTTTAAAGTAACTTGAGAAAAAAGTGAATGCACTACCTGTAACCCAGGTCATGGCATTACCTACCAATCCCAACATTTTACTGGCAAGAAGACAGAGGATTTCAATTAAATACCTGCTGCAATAAAGATGTGAAAGCATTTTGAAAAGAAAAAGAGGGGGAAATCCTTCTCGCTAAGTAACATTCTAATATTTCATGCATTACTCAAGAGTCTTTCCCTATCAAAGGAAATGGAATAACATTTTTAAGGTAACCTGACTGACCAGGTATAGCAGGTGAAAACAAAAATTTTACCATAATTTTTCCCTATTATGTGAGGCGACATATGTACAAATGTCAAATGTACAATTATTCTCCCAGAGGAAAGATCTGTTCAATATTTCTTCACATTCAGGTCCTCATTCAAACAACCTCATGATAAAGTCCTAACAGCTTTATTAGGCACACGGACCTGACCGAGCATCATTCTGTTTGTAAATCACTTCCCTTAAAGCCTTTCCTCTTTCTTTACATATGTAAATTACAGTGTCTGATCCAGAGCCCTCCACCAACCAACGCAACCAAATTGTCCTCTAGGGACCTCAAGGGGCTTGTTATTCTTGTTTCAGCATTAAAAAAGAAGAAGAGGGGGGAGGGGAAGGAATCTCTATCTTCAGGAATCACAATTCTTCTTGATTTGATTTTTGGCTCACTAGTGGTAAAATGTTTATACCCTGGAATGCGTTACCCTCTACTTCTGAATGTTTGGCTTTTTTAGAGCCAAGACATGGCACAGTGTTTCTATAAATTGTTTCAAGTAATATATGCCTCCTTTTGCAGGGAGCATTTGGTCAAATTTTAATATTCCCTCTTGGGAGCCAACCCCAACTTCCAACAGCAGATCTAAGCTCGCAGAATAGAATTTTAAATAACACACAGCCAGCCATGACTTCTAGCGGATGTGGTCTTTTCTTTTCCTACTCCCAGTGCTGTCACAGGAGACACCCTGAATGACCCTTATCACATGCAATATAGATCTTTTTCTATTACGTAATAAATTCATCACAAAAAACACAAAATACATTCCTCCTTTACCTAGCGTAAAAAAGTAACATGGTTTCTACCAAGGTTGAGCTGTGGTTGTCACTGCTTAGGCTTGTGATCATTGCACAATTCATAAGAATAAATAGCACATGTACATTTCCATAGGCTATAAACATTGGTTGAGAAAAAACACACCACCCAGCTTCCTAACTCCCAAACAAGATTATTTGGCAGAAATTGTTCCATTTCTGTAGTACTGGATCGTAATAAACATTTTGGTTTCTGTGGCCATTGAAAACTTGAGAGAAGACCCTGTCATTTTTCTTTCATTAAAATGTGCAATAAATTTTACTGCAAGATACAATCAGGGAAAAGGAAAAGGCTCATTGCAATATTGCATCCATCTTTTTGCATTAGGCTCAAAATATAAATCTCAAGGATATATATGTGTCACGTGTCAGTCCAAGCTGAAGGCATCCACCAAGAGATTATTTTCACTATTCCGCTAGCAATCAGAATCTACTTCCACAAACCCATATACTGATGAGAGCCAGGGCTCTCCATTTCTTGTTTTTAATATCTCTTCCCTCTGCACAGGAGAAAAGCCATTTTACTAATTTATAAGGACCCTGACTCTCCAACCATCTAAAAAAAAAAATTTTACTCATCAATAATAGTCAACTAAAAGCAAAAGTGTTTCCCATAGGAGTCAGAGAATAAAACAGGCAACAGCAGCACATATTGATCTGCAAGACTCCAGATACTCACTAAAGGCAGCCACCGCGAGCGCCAGGGTGACAATAATGGAGAACCAGGACACCCACAACGCCTTCTTTCTGTAGTTCTGAGCTTCGTGGGGCTTCAGTCGGGTGCTGCTTTCGAGTAAGCCTGACAAAAACAGGAGAAAAGGAAGTTAGACATTTCCTTACTCAGAAACCCACAGCCAGAGCTACAATTTCTTACCCCAAAACTGCAAACTGGCAGCCCATCAGCCAAGATGTGTTTTGTCTGGCCCACACTGTGTTTTAACAATTAAGAGATTTCCCATGAAAATCAAGCTTTCTGGCATCTCTCGGAAAACGACAGGCTCTGGCAATATGGGCCATGTATTTCTGCAGGGTGGCAGCAGCTGCCCTCTTTACAGCAACGACAGACCCCACCACTCCCTGACACATCACACCAGGCATCACTGGGCCCTGCATTAAATTGCTTGGCTCAGGTGGTTGGTGCCATTTCCAACAAGGCTCTTCTGTTAGGAAACAGTGCAAATAGCCACATTTAGTTGGCCACTTGGGCTGTTCCACTGTGGGCATTGATTTGCATTGATCCACCAGCACAGTCCCAACTGGTAGACTGAGTTTTGCCCAAACCAAGGAGTTAGGGAATACAAATGCCTTCACTGTTCCCCCTGACAATTAACAGAAGGAGAACTATTTCTCTTTAACCACAAGCAACAAGAGCCACCAATCCCAAATTACATGCCACACTTCCTTCCCTCCTCTTTTCTGCTCTATAGTATGTAACCCATTGGACCAAACACATGTCAAAAAATTCTAAGAATAGGGTGGCACCTGTGGCTCAGTGAGTAGGGTGCCTGCCCCATATACAGAGGGTGGCAGGTTGAAACCTGGCCCCGGTCAAATTGCAACAAAAAAATAGCCGGGCGTTGTGGTGGGTGCCTGCAGTCCCAGCTACTTGGGAGGCTGAGGCAAGAGAATCGCCTAAGCCCAAGAGCTGGAGGTTGCTATAGCTGTGACACCACTGCACTTTACCAAGGGCGACAAAATGAAACTCTGTCTCTATTAAAAAAAAAAAAAAAAAATCTATCAATATTAAAATGGGTTAACTCTGGAAAAACTGAAGATAGCTTCCCAGGTAGGCCATGTATAAGACAGGTTTTATTTTTGTCTCCTAAGCTTTCAACATTGTGAATCCTCAACAACAGCTGAAATTCATGACCACCCCCAGGCAATGCCCAAGCTTCAACTGCCTTGGGTCAGAGACACAAATATCTTCAGTATGATATTGCTTTGTACTTTTTTCTTCTCCTTTGAAAATAGATCATATATAGCATCTCTTAGTTACACAGAGAACAAAATTTTCACACATGCAGTCTACATAAACAGGAGCTTATTGTACCATCTGTGGCAAAACAACCCATACTACACCTTTCAGAGGCTAAGCAGCTTCAGCAAAACTCCAAACTATGAAGGAATTGGTCACTGAGGCTAAAGTACCGAATTGTAAAATATCACACAGTGTGGGGCATTTTACACGTATTCATGACGGAAAAGGCATCACCTCATTTGTCTGAGTAGGTAACAGATTAAGCCTCTAGTTGCCAAAAATTGCATCTTGTTCAAATATTAAAACAAGGACTCTGCTAAAACTTCTAAGTACCCTTTATAACCTAGACTTGAGCATCCCTAAGTCCTAAACAAAGCGAGAGGGAACGTCAAGAAGGCTGCTTAGTAAGCCCAGTTCGCATCCCAGAGATTTTTAAATAATTGAAACCTATATGCTAATACAAGATCAAAAGGGATATGTGAATGCAAATGTTGAGTATAAACACCATCTCCATCATCTCACAATAAAAATCTCTCTAAACCTTGCATCATAAATGCACTTGGATGGGAAATAAAAAATGAAAAAATGTTATCCCCTCACTTGTCAAATTCTTCCCCAGGTACAAGTGATTTCAAATGAAAATACAGCATGTCCCTTTGTCTACTCCTTCCCTAGATGCCAGAAAAACACCCCATTCTAATTTTTAACTACTATCACCAGTTAAAGCCCTATCCTAGAATGAGCAGATTTCACACATCCTTAATAATTTATGTACCTTTCCCAAATGATATAAAAATCTCCATTTCATCCTGGCCAATTGATTTTCAGGTGAAGTGAAGCTATAACATTAAGTACTGACTCAAATAAGCAGTTCATTTGCTGGCTATTTAGACAGTAACCATCTCCAGAGGTTTATACACTGGGGGAAAAAACAAGGTTCCTTTTAGAAGGAGATTTAGTTTTCTAAGAAGGACAACAGTGTTCTAGATTTTCTATTCTGCCACCTAACACTTAGTCTTTCTTCCAAAGTTATCTGGTTTCAATAATATAACTGTTCCTGACCACACATGTGGAACAATCTATATGCCTCACCCACCATTTAGATGCCACTCCCCTGCAGGTGTTTCTGATGACACACCCTGTAGGCTAGACTGCCTTGCTAAGGGGACACTTGCATCCTCTCAGCAGTAGCACTTCTCCACAACTGATCCTGTGTGTGCTTTCCCCAGGAGAATTTTCAATAAATAAATTTTTTTTTTTTTTTGAGACAGAGCCTCAAGCTGTCCCCCTGGGTAGAGTGTCGTGGCATTACAGCTCACAGCAACCTCCAACTCCTGGGCTCAAGCGAGTCTCCTGCCTCCGCCTCCCAAGTAGCTGGGACCACAGGTACTCGCCACAGCACCCGGCTATTTTTTGGTTGCAGCCGTCATTGTTGTTTGGCGGGTCCGGGCTGGGGATTCGAACCCGCCACCTTAGGTGTACGTGGCTGGCGCCTTAGCCGGTTGAGCTATAGGTGCCGAGCCAATAAATAAATTTTTAATAAAATTTTTAAAAATTGGAGTAAGTTCTATGGGAAGACTGTCCAAAAAAGGGAAGGACTTTCCCATTTCTATCCAATCTTTGCTTATTGCCTACTGAATTTCCTTTCTAAAAATACAGCCAATACCCAGAATAGAAAACTTTTTTGCTTCTCAAAGGGAAGTGGAATATGATGACCCACTAAAACCCAGCTCACAAGTGAATGGTCCATATACAGGTGTCACTACACTCACATTGAAAGCAGGCACCCAACCACAAAGATATGGTGAAAATTCCTAAGGTTTTCAGGAATCCGTGCTTCAGGGGTAGAAGAAAGGCAGCCTGGAGAGGCAGAACATCAGTAGAGAAGCTAAGACAGGCCTCAGATGTGCAAACAGAGTTGGATCCTGCCTACCCATAGCTGGGTTCCATATTTGAATTTCAACCTCATTCAAGTTTCACATATTTGCCATTTGGGCCTGGAAGTACTAAGATAAGGCTATATTAATAAAGTCTGATTCCTTATTTATTTGAGGGGCAAGAGGATACAAATACATGTAGAGAGATTAGAGCCATCAGTCATTTCCACACTAGTATGAATTAGCACCATTTGCTTTCTCCTAAGGGTTTGTCAAGCTTGAATTCTCTGAAGGAAGGAGAATTTTCATTAGATGTGAAGGTAATGGGAAATGCTGAAGCATATAACTCTTTAAGGTTAAGCTGGCCAGGCCCTAAGGTTTGGGATACAATGATGCAAAAAACACATGTGAAGAGAAACAGTGGATATTGAAAGGGGAAGATGACTAACATAAACTCGGCCTATTTTTTTATGTCTGTTTAGTCCCTGAAGGTCTTAGGCCACAGAGCTCTCGGTCCTAGAACTACAAGCACCACAAATGGCACTGTGGTTACTGACATTCTGAGCTAGCTAGGCTTGTGGGAACCAGCTCACATAATTTCTAAGGGGAAAAAAAGGAAAGGGAAGGAAAGGAAAAAGGAAATGAAAAGAAGAAGGCCTCCCAAGTCCCAGGACACTAGAATACAAAACAAACCTTTGACTGGAGTTACCCTTGGTCTGTAATAGCATCCAGATAGCTCAGAAGGAAGTTAGGACAAAAGACAATGCCAAATACAGTCGTCCCCCCCCCCTACACCCCAACACACACACACTCTCTCTATATATATATAGGTATTCAGGCCTAGAAGAAAGCAAGCCAGGCAGCGTGGAGAGAACACAGCAGGCAACTGCTGAGGTTCCTCCCCTTGAAATCCTCTCAGCTGCACTCAAACCATCCCCAAGAGACACAAAAATCAATCGATACTGAAAAGATGCAGCCCCATAAGGAAAAATAACACAAACACCAAATATTACAATAAACCTTCCCGGGTAACCTTCTGATTTATTTAACAAAAATGACTCATTCACCATGAACACTCTGCCATCAGGAATGGGTCAAACAAAAGAATGTCACATTGACTTTCAGTTTTCAATGCCACACAGCACTGGGTTCTTTAGGGGAGAGGGTTTATCCTAACAGAGAGATTGTGTGTGACTTGCAATGCTTTTACACAGTGACAGTTTATGAACAGTCAGCGCTTTCATGCTATAATATAATAGAAAATGAAATTCTGTTGACCATTTAAAAATAACTTAAGAATGAATTCAGAAGGGCTTTTTTACACTTAAACGTGAACTACAAAATGATGTTAAATCTTAGCTCATCCTAGCACTTTTTCCCTCCCATCATTTTTGGGGGGAAGAGAAAAATAGCCTAGCTCTTAAAGATGACCTGCAATGCTACAAAAATAAGCTCAACCCAGGTTTCTGTCTTTCTCCCATATAAGATTTTAAAATCCTACAATACTAGTTGGAGGAGGCAAAGGTAATTAATTAACACAGCCTAGATAATAAAAACGATAGGTTTTGCTGGGTGTTTGTAATGTCTCTCAAAAGGCATCCAGTTACGTGAGACCACGGGGAGAAACCGCAACATAGGTGCAGAATTCGTTGCAACTGGAGCAGCTCCAGTTCTCGCCGAGCATCTCGGCGGATTCTCTGAGAAATGCCGTTTCCATGTCATTCTGTTTCATATGCTATAGTTTAGAATTTCTAAAGAGAAGGAGATCGTGCATCCGAACACTAAACCAGAATAAAAATGTACAGGAGATACTAAGAATAGGACAGAAACCTGCTAAGTCTAAAATACATAAACTCGCCATGGCCAACAAACTCAGGCTTCCAAGAAAAGGGAGAGGCTGTGGAAAGAGCCGGCTTCCCCTGAAGGGCCTGGCTGCAAGAATCCCGCTTTGGCCTCTAATCAGTTTTAGCAGAACCACAGATGCTTTTCGAGGGGGTACAGTTTGGATCTGGATTCACCAATAAGTAGAAAAGGCGTAGGCGCGACCAAGAACAAGGCTCGCTCCTCAGCTCCTCAAGGAATCTAAGCCTAAAAGAAACGAGCGAGGGGTGGAGGAGAGAAACGCGGGAATGAACAGCGGAGTCTCTCCGGTCCTATGAGGGCAACTCGGAGAGGCATCGAAGTAGAGTTTGGCCTACTAGGAAAGAAAGGGACCTTGGCGGGTTTCAGGCCAGCGGTGAGGGCTTAGTTCTGAAGGTTCTAGAGACGCCCCCTCCGGGAACTACCGGGGTTCAGCGGCATCTATCCAGATGAGGTTGGTGGCCCAAGCCCAGATGTCCCAGCCCTGCACTCCCATACCAGACGGGAGTGAGTGACCCACTGCGATCCGCGTCCCGGATATCGGGGCGCGCGAGGACAGCGGCGGCCCGGGGCCGGGCTCACTCCCCTCCTTGTGCCCTTTGGCGCGGCTGGCAGCCGGGCAGTGGCCGAGGGACACCCCGCAGCTGCACCGGCTGAGGGAAGTTCTCCCAGGGAGCCGGCGGGGGGCAGAAGGGGCGCGGAAAGGAGGATGCATCGAGCTGGATCCCTCCGAGCAGTTTCCTAGGAGTGCTCGGTTCCTAAAGAACAATAAATGCCTCCTGCAAACTTTTCCAGTGGGCGCCGAAGGGGCTGGCGCTGTCCGAGAGCAGAGCGCCGGCCCAGGCGGGGTCGACCTGGAGGCAGCCGGGTTCTGGGGCTTCGGGGGGAAGAAGCTGCCGCCGAGGCGGTGCCCGCCGCAGGAGGTGGGGCTGCCGCCCTCCGCTCGCCGCGCCTTCGCCGGGAAGTCCCGGCTCCGCTTCCCCGCGCGCTCCCGGCCCGGAGCCCCGCGCCCCGTCCGGTCCATCCCGCGAGTGGTCAGAGGCGGCCCGGAGCAGAGGCTCCTCGTCGGGCCGGCCCAGCCCCGAGGAGGGCCCGGGAGACCAGGGCGGTGTGTGCTCACCTCGGTCCTCTAGCCCGTCGCTGAACTGGCCGCTCTCGCTGATCCGCACCTGCCGCTCCTCCTCGGGCTGCGGCGGCTCGCGCTCCGGGGAGCTCAGCGGGCCGGGGGCGGCAGCCAAGGGCGCGTGGCCCCGGGGCGGCGACCGGACGGCGGGCCCCGGGGTGTTGCGGCGCTCCACGCCCGCGGCCGGCTCCATGGCACGGGGCTGCGGCTCACGGCGGCGGCGACAAGCGCGGCGGGGACTCGAATCAGAAGTGCGAGGTTCCGAGGCTTCGGTGGGAGGAGGAACGGACTGACCGACCGCGTGGACAGGGAGGGAGGGAGCGAGGGCGGGCGCCAGAGTAGAGGTGCACCTTGCGGGAAGAGGGGGATGTCGGAGAGCGGCGCGGCTCGGCTGCCGGTGGCGGAGGCTGGGGCCGCGTTGTCGCCGCCACGCTCCGCCCCTGGGGGCAGGTGCGGGCGGCAGGGACCCGCCCCGAGGCCGTGGCGCGGGAGCGGGCGCACCAAAGCGGGTGGGGAGGGAGGAACTCGGTCCCTCCAGCAGCGTGGAAGCTGGGGACACTGTTTAGCGGGGTGGGCACCCGCAAGCGGCTCCGGCTGGGCTGGGCTAAGGAGTAACCAGGGACCCTCCCCATCCGCACCACCGGATGGTGCCCAAAGGGGACCCCTCGGACCAGATTCCTCTGCGGTCCAGAAGCCAGCGGCCACGCATGGGCAGGAGAGCGGGAAGCGCCCTTAATTTGGTATCTTTCTTTTCTGGAGCTACACAGGGTGTCGAGGTCTCCCCCCTGGGCCTCCATCCTCACCGCTGGTCCTAGGAAGACAAGCTCCACTGTCCCCGAGCCCGTCGGTCTTGGCCCTTATCCTAGGAGCTTTAACTCTCTTGCTTTGTATCCTGAGCACCAATTTAGCCAGAGGATGGAGTATCTTTCTCACCAGGTGGGAACCTGGAAGATGCTCGCATTCAAGGCTTCCCATTGCCCTGAGCTTTTGTCCTATCCAGTTTCCACCCCAGCTCCTTATTTCCCTCTGGGTGTCCAGATATCCCTCCTATTAGGAGTGTCCCCTGGCTGTCCCAGCCCTATACATGTTTCCCCACGTCCAATCGCCTTATCTCTTAACTCTTGCATGGTAGAGCTGGTCTCCCCAGTGAGGCAGCGACCTTGTCCACGCTGAGATCACGCAGCTTTCTGGCAGCCCAGAGAGGTGCAAGGGAGAACAGATTCAGCTTGAACTTGTTTGGACTCTAAACAGTATACCCCAAAGTAGGACAGTTTGGTGTGCCTCCCCCAAATCCAGACCTCACAAAACAAATCGCTTTATTATTGAATATTAAAAGGATTTGTTCTGCAAAATTTGGATGCAGGTGAAAGGCTGCACTCAAGGATCCAGAAGGCCCACATGTGTCCTCAAAGCCTCAGGTTCCCCAGCCCTTGGGAGGAAGGAATATGGCCCAGAAAGGTCAAGAAGAATCCGGACAAGCCTGGTTGCGTTTCCCCCCTCAGTCTATTACTGTCAGGTCGGACCCTTTTGACCAACCACATTTCTACATGGCTGTCCATTCTTCACCAAACCTAAATATAAAAAGTTTTCCCAAGGTCTTTGGATCTTCATTTCTGAAGGCTTTTCCACCAATTAAAACTTTGATTAAATAAATTTTTATGCTTTTAGTGTTACAGGAATGTTAGCCATGACCCTTACCATAGAGAGGAAAGGGATCAGAGATCAAATCTTTCTGCCCTTTCAGTTTCAATGGTGTAAACATGAAACTCTAGAGTCTAGATTCCAGCTTTAGATTCACAACAGTCTCTAAATTTAATCTGAGTACTCTAAAATATCAATTCCTCATTCATAGGCGTCCACCATGTTTTTTAAAGTAACCTTTTCCTTTCTCATTTCGGCTTTGCTTGTGATTGAAATCAGAGTAGGATTTAAATGCCTTTGTGGTGCAGTGGGAACATCCCCAGAAATAGGAAGAAGATCTTATTTTATTTTGTTTATCTTGTTGTTGTTGTCACTGTATTGGAATTAGAAGATTTGAATTTGGCCAACTCACCTTACTTTTTGGACCACTAATTTCTCCAACTACAAACTGAAAGAGTTGAACTAGATTATTTCAAAAGTTCCTTCTTGCTGGAAAGGGAGAGGGAGGGAGGGAGAGAGAGAGAGAGAGAAAGAAAGATGCTATGATTACTTGGATGAAAACAATGAAAATGCCCACGAATCCTGGTTCTGTCTTCTAAGGCAGACCATCCTTCAGATATACAGAAGGTGACCCCAAAATGTATACACATTATAAGAAAGAAAAAAAACCTTATTAAAATGGTAATACTCAATATATACTGATAACAAAAGATGAATACATTGAACCTGGCAATTGCAGAAGTCAAACATGACTTGAACATTACAAATTTAATACAGTTTTAACCTTTCTTTAAATGTGTATATATCTGAGTGGTGCCTGTGGCTCAGTGAGTATGGCACCGGCCCCATATACCAAGGGCGGCAGGTTCAAACCCGGGCCCAGCTGAACTGCAACAAAAAAATAGCCAGGAGTTGTGGCAGGTGCCTGTAGTCCCAGCTACTCAAGAGGCTGAGGCAAGAGAATCACCTAAGTTCAGGAGTTTGAGGTTGCTGTGAGCTGTGTGATGCCATGGCACTCTGGGCGATAAAGTGAGACTCTGTCTTTACAAAAAATAAATAAATAAGTGTGTATATATCTTTTTCGCACCCTCTGTATTTGCAGAGCCATCCCCTCCCCCAACTTTTTTCCTCCTAGTAATCCCGTCAATGACTCTCAAAGAATCACCTGGTGAGTCAAAGAACAAAAATACCCAAGCCCCCACTGCTAAAGAGTCCATCATAGTTGACATATAATAGGGCTAGGACCTGAGCCCAAGTATTTTTAGGACCCCTCCCCATTCTCAAAGTTATCTGGGGCTTTGGGGTTTGTTTGTTTGTTGTTGTGTTTTGTTTTGTTTTTGGCAGTTTGGGGCCAGGGTTGGGTTTGAACCCACCACCTCCGGTATATGGGGCCAGCACCCCACCCCTTTGAGCCAAAGGTGCCACCCAGCTTTGGGGTTTTTTTTTAATCATTATTTCTTCCTAGATCTCTGAGATTCTAATTCAATAGTTCTGGGGTCTGGCTGGGAATCTTTCTTTAAACCCCTCTCCCCTACACACACCCACACAACATTCTGATGTTGATTGCTGTTCTGTAACCATGGTTTGTGATTCTCTCAAACTCAGTATTCTCCACAGTGTTGACCATCTAACTGTCTGGTCTACACACACTCTCGCTCTCACATACACACATGCACACCCACACGCACACACACACATCTCCAAGGTCTGCAGCAGACTCTGTCCTAAGGAGCCAGTATCATTGTTCTTTCCTCTGGTTCCTTCGTTGGTCCTATAAGTCCAACGTATGTCAAACTTGAATGTGCAGATGAACACTGGGCCTTCTTGTTAAAATGAAGGTTCTAATTCAGTAGGTCTGACACAGAGGCTGAAATTCTCCATTTCTAGCAAACCTCCAGGTGCTGCTGATGTGCTAGTCTGAAGACCAACCACACATTGAGAAGTAAACATCTAGGAGTTATTGCTTATCCGTGGGAGAAATATATTTTTCTTCTCATTTCAGGCTGTCCTGATTCAACAATCTGCTACTGTCTTCTCCAGAAAGATTTCTCTGATTCCAGCTCACCCCTGGACACTCCTTCTTCTGAACTGTAAGTGATTAATAATTCACTGCGTATTTCATGTGTGAGGCCAGGATGGTGATGCTTGCCTGATCCATATTCCTCACTCACATACACTTACCTGGATGTCAAGGACATGGTGTTCACCCAAGCAATCCCTGGGAGATAACATTAGCTTAACATTCCTGGAGGACCCACCATGTGCCTGGAACCTGGCTAAGTCTTTTTTACAGGCAATGTCTTCCTAGCTTAGTTACTACTGTCCTCACTCCACAAAGAAACCAAGGCGCCGCTCCCGGGTTAGGCTCTGTCCAGCTCTACAGCCCACAGCGGTACCGCCCTCTATGGGGCGCTTTGGAAATTTGCAGGTGCTTTCTTTGGTTAGATATCACAGAGAAGAAAGGAGAGAGTCTCTAGCATTTACTGGGGCGGGCGGGTCTGTATTTGGAAGATTGTGTTCCACGTGGCTTTCCTATGTAAGCTCTGACCTTTGGTTCACTTATGTGGTAAAATGTGCTTCTAATTACATGAGAACTTTCACTGTGTTTTAAATGTAAACACAAAATATTTTTGCACTTTTTGAATACACACAGAATTTTCTGGAAATGCATCTACTGTATAAGTCTAGGAAAGATGATACTCTATTTACTGTTTTGGAATATCAGGACACTGAAGCCAGTTCCACTCATGGAATCTGAGTCAGTGATCAGCACATGTCTACCTGCCACAGGCCCAGTAACTCCATATGTGTGTATTTGTTTAGGTCTCATTTCAAAATGACAAAAAAACAAACAAACAAACAGTGTTTTCTACAGTCTTCTAACTAGCTACCAAAAAAAGAAAAGAAAACTAAAAGTGTCAATAGTATTCCAGAGTCTTGTCTTTCTGCTCATAAGTTATAAGCAGGTGCAAATATCTGCCGCCTTCTTTATGACTTCTCATCCAGTTCTGAGTAGATATTTATAAAAGCAAATGTAAACTAAGTATGTATTGCTTTATTTTTTATTCCTCCTTTATTATAATTTAGGTTGTTATATTGATTTTTAAACTATGTGTATATTAGTTATGTGATTTCATAAGCACAATAGTAGTAAATAATCTCAAATAATTGTTATAAACAGGAAGATTTAATCATTGTAGCCAAGAAGAGCCTAAGGAGACATGACCACTAAAAGTAACATGGCATTCTGGATGAGATCTTGAAATAGAAAAAGGACAGTAGGTAAAAATTAAGGAAATATGAATAACTTTAGTTAATAATATATCAATTATGGTTCATTAGTTGCAATAGATGTACACTAATGTAAAATTTTGGTAACAGGGAACACTGAGTTTATAGTATACAGAACTGTCTTTTCAATTGTATGCCAATCTAAAACTGTCCTAAAATTAAAGTCTACTAGGAAAGTTTTTAAAAGGGAGGAAGGGAAGGCTTAAGTGTGAGAGACAGACACCCTAACTGTGAACTTTACCCATGGCAAAAGCGAGAGAACGCAAAAGCAAAGTGCTCACAAATTTTATTACAGTCACAAAGAATAAAGTGTTTAT